ACACACACACACACACACACACACAGCAGATTAACACGCACACAAACATACATACACACACACACACCCACACACCTACACGCACAGACACACACACACACCTACACACACAGACACACCACCCGAATCCAACAAGTGATAACAAGAGAACAAGTGGATACTTATTGAGGATGTTATATATCTTATATACTTATATAATGTATATACTTATATACGTCTTTACTTTGATACCATCTGTTGGTAGAAAACAGGAAGAAGACGACATCAACAGACTGACGGCTTTCTAGACTTCGTATACTGGATCAGTTATTAAATAAACATGTAAAACCTCCATATATTCTTATATATATATATATATATATGTATATATGTATATATACTGTATATATATATATATATATATATATATACACAGTATATCGGTTCAGTACGATACAGTGGTGCCACGGTTCGGTACGGTTCGGTACGGTTTCAATGCAGCAAAAAAGCAGAAAAGCCAAATCCTCTCTGGTGAGACTCAAGGGGGCGTGTCTGAGTTGATTCTCTGTTTGGGCTTTTGTTTTCTTTTACAAAGCAGGAATGATGGTCTGGAGAAATGGGCTGGTGAAGGAGTAGTGTCACGGGGCTCAATAGTATTCAGCATGTTGGTGCAGCCTGGTTTATCACTAGAGGAGGGATGAACCTTTAACCTGTTTGAATCAGGAGGGAACAGATACCGAGACACTGCGGGAGAGTTTGTAACCAATATCACGTGACTATTCACGTACACTGGGTTGATGGTGCCGGTGTAAACAGGAAGTAGATTGGTTGCTTACTTAAAATAATATGACAGAGTAATAAAGTAGTCTTTAATAATGAAAGGTCGTGTTTGATACTTAAGATCTTCTCTAAAATCTTCCTCTATAAACTCAAACAGACAGTTCGTGGAAAGTTTTAGAAGTTTTATTTTTCAGACTTAGTACCGTATTGTACCATGTAGTACCACATACTACTCATTTAAAATTACAACCTCAAACTGCTTTTTCTGTATCAAATTCTATCCACTTGAACATCTCACTGACAACATGAGAACATTTAAAAAGAGGAAAACATCTCCTCAGTATTTGACCTCTGGGTTCTCTGTGTGTTCTCGTTCTGCAGGAGAACCCGTACCTGTGCAGCGATGAGTGTGATGCCTCCAGCCCCGACCTGTCTCACCCTCCTCAGCTGATGGGAGACAGGGAGAGGGGGGGGCTGATCACCTACTGGCAGACGGTCACATGGTCACGGTATCCTGAACCCCTATTGGCCAACATCACTCTGTCCTGGAACAAGAGCCTGGAGGTTGTGGACGACATCGTCGTCACCTTCGAGTACGGCCGACCGACTGGCATGGTGCTGGAGAAGTCTATGGACAAAGGTGATTGGTCCTGGGGGGTCCAATGAACACCAGCTGGTACCAGCATGTGGGGGGAAGGGGGGGGTCGAGTCGGTCCAATGAACACCAGCTGGTACCAACGTGAGATCTGGTCTCTGATCTGGATCAATACAAACAAATAATCCCACATGTTGAAAGTTCACTTGATTGAGCCTATTCCTGTTAAAGCTAAAGCTGCCCTTCAAAATAAAAGCTACAGACGAGCCAACAACAGCACCACTTCAGGAGACTCTTGGGGACCACTGTGCCCTGGGAGGTGACTAACAGGTGTAGTTGAGCTTACAGTAGTGCATTATGGGTACTGTCATATACATGTACTACCTGGTAGTACTGTCATGTTCCCTCCAGACACTCTGAATGATGTGTTAGTACCTGGTAATACTACTACCCTAACTACCTGGTAGTAGTATTACCAGTACTACTACTAGTAGTACTTGATGTTGGACTATAGAAATAGACTTGATTTTGACAGTACTACCTGGTAGTACTATCTGGTAGTACTACTACAGAATCTGACGGGGCTTCACAGACCCAAACCAGAGAAAAGTACACGGACCAGTACTGAGCCACGAGGATGCCAAATCCACATGTGACCAGTACGTGGTTGGTTACTGGTAACTGGTAATATGAACCATGTTACCTGGTAATATGAACCATGTTAACTGGTAATATGAATCATGTTAACTGGTAATATGAACCATGTTACTGGTAATATGAGCCATAATAACCAGTATTTGTGTTGCAGGTGTCACGTGGCAGCCGTATCAGTTCTACGCTGACGACTGTCTGGAGGTGTTCGGTATGGTTCCTAAACAGGTCTCAGACTTAGCACCGAGTAACTTAACCCGGGTCATCTGTACCGAGCAGTACTCCCGCTGGGTCGGAGCCAAGGTGGGTAACTGGTCTTGACACTGGTCATACTGGGAACCAGATAACACTAATGAGTTTATAGAGTGTTATTTAAATGATATGAGTCACTGAGAATAGAGATTGAACAATAAGCAGAATCAATGGAGGACAAACATGTCAGCTGGCTGTCATGGTTCCACCAACAGGAGGAGAAGATGATGGTTTTCGAGGTGCGAGCTCGGTTCGGGGTGTTTGCAGGTCCAAAGCTGATCAACATGGACGCCCTGTACACCCGGATGGAGACCACGAAGGGTCTGAGAGACTTCTTCAGCTTCACCAACCTCCGACTGAGACTCCTCCGCCCGGCTCTGGGAGGGACCTACGTCCAGAGAGACAACCTGCTCAAATACTTCTACGCTATTTCTAACATCGATGTACCTGCAAGGTATGTACAGACTAACAACCAGCTACACCTGAGAACACCTGAGAATACCTGAGAACACCTGAAAACTCCTGAGAACACCTGAGAACACCTGGTGTGTCTTTGTGTGTTTCCTGCAGGTGTAAGTGTAACCTGCATGCGTCTCAGTGTTTGTTACGTGATGCGACGCTGCAGTGTGACTGTGACCACAACACAAGTGGACAAGACTGTCAGCTCTGTGGACCAGGGTTCAAATCCCGCAGCTGGAGACCAGGATCATACCTGACGCTGCCCAAAGGCACTGCCAACACCTGTAAGTACCAGAACACACACACACACACACACTGCCGACACCTGTACCTGTCAGACAGCACACACACACACACACACACTTGTATGTACTGAACACACCACATTTACTCAGAGATCAGTTGGTGGACATCAGACAGAATAAAACAGTAACATGTGTCTCTTTCAGGTGAGACAGCAGAAACAGCAGCCAGTAAGTACTGTTCACCTGTTTACCTGTTCACCTGTTTGTCACGTTCCATTTAATCCCCACCTCCTCCTTCACTAATGTGGTTAGTGTTGCATCATCATGTACAAATACTAAAATACAACAACACAGTAAATTAAATCAGGTGGAACTGAAATACTCAAATGAATGTCAAGACTGATTGGTTGTATTACATCATCAAATCCCTCGCTCTGATTGGTCACATGAGTGGTCAGTTAAATGGTGCATTCTGGGAGAAACATCTGAGTTAATCTGTCGTTTAGAGCAGTGTTTTTCAACCTTTTCTGAGCCGCGGCACATTTTTTACATTACAAAGATCCCGCGGCACACCAACAACCAAAAAAGTTACAAAATGACACCTTTTAGCATAATACTGCATATCTGCCATGGTGTCAAAGTCAATCACAGAGAGGGACAAAATTAAAAATTGGGACTACGTTGAGGGCCAAATAGAGTCACCATCTAATAAACAGGATAGAAGGGATATTGGACAAAGTGCAAAAAGAATACATGTTGAGGTAGGCCACATTATTTTATGCATACGTACCAGAGCCAGATGTTTGGCATCTTTTCTTGGCTGCCAGTTCATTAATATCTGGGGTTAGGTTCTGTGGAAACCCTCAAGATGGAGTGAAGGTGTGTGTTAAGGCATTGTTTTGGGGGTGACACTTGGAAACTGTGCAGCGCCCTCAGAGTCACACTTTGCCTTGAGTGTCATTACACTGGAGGTCTATCAGCTCCACAGGTGCTCTTTCCACTTCAACTGCAAACGGATTGCTGAGCAGTTCAGATTTAAATTGCTGAGCTGCAAAGTCGGCAAATCTCCGAGTGATCTCTGTGCCAAGTGCACCCAGTTTATCAGCAACATGCGCAGTCGGGAACACATGGAGACTTTTACTGCATCGCACATGTCTGTGATCATACATGTCTGTGATCACACGTCCCTGTCCCTGAAGCTGCAGGTTTAGCGCAGTGAGTTGCTTCGTTATGTTGCACATAAAGCCAGCTCACATCGCCACTTCTCGTCCCGGAGCTCTGTGGTGTGGCGGGCCAGTTATGATAAACATATATTTTCTGGCGGGCCGTTGTACCGAGGGCCGGATATATGCTGACAATTGAATGACAAGTCTCTCAATGTGTTGATCCTTACTCGGCATTTCATCTGGGTTATTTTGTCCAGGGCCCAGTTCAGAGTCTGTATTTTTACTTTTCAAATATTTCTCCATCGCTGTTCGTCTCGTCACCGCAACCTCTCCCATCATTTCATTCTACTGTCCTCCATTAACACGTCATTACTGCGCTACCTACTGCCACCCACTGGCACGGAAGAGTATTTATTACTTAGCCAGACACTATGTTGCAGCTCAGACGCTCAACAATGGCAAAGTATTTGCAACAACTAAATCATATTTTTTTGGACTCATTAAGTGAAATTGGACATTTTCCCACGGCACACCTGACGATCTCTCACGGTACACTGGTGTCTGGTTTAGAGACAAATGGTGTGTGTTTAATCTGTGTTAGTCAGTTTTACCTTGTAAATCACCTCACACTCACAAACACATACACACACACATACACGCACACACAATCACAAACACAGACACACATACACACACACATACACACTCACAATCACATACACACACACACTCACAAAAACATACACACACACACACTCACAAACACATAAACACACACCTACACACTCATAATCACATACACGCATACACACACACACACTCACAAACACATACACATACACACATACACACTCACAATCACATACACACGCACACACAAACACATACACACACACACTCACAAACACATGCATACACACATACACTCACAAAGACATACACACACACTCACAAACACATACACACACACACACTCACAAACACATACATACACACATACACACTCACAATCACACACACACTCACAATCACACACACATACACTCACAATCACATACACACATACACACTCACAATCACACACACACTCACAATCTCATACACATACACACATACACTCACAAACACATACACACTCACAATCACATACACACGCACTCACAAACACTTACACACACACTCACAATCACACACACATACACACACACATACACAAGTGATAACAAGAGAACAATCTGATTCTTATTGAGGATCTTATATATCTTATATACTTATATATATCTTATAAATATCTTATATATATATTTTATATACTTATATATATCTTATAAATATCTTATATACTTATATAGATCTTATATATATCTTATAAAGAAAGAAAAGAAACCATTTTTATTGTCATATACATATACACATACACGAAGTTTGCCTTCTGCATTTGACCCATCCCTGTATATAGGGAGCAGTGGGCTGCCATACTTATATATATATTTTATATACTTATATATATCTTATATATCTTATATATATATATTTTATATACTTATATATATCTTATATATCTTATATATATATATTTTATATACTTATATATATCTTATAAATATCGTATATACTTATATAAATCTTATAAATATCTTATATACTTATATATATATTTTATATACTTTTGTTTTTATATACTACTATATGTTAAGTTGATATTCTCGTTACAGACTGAGTGGAATGTGTTTCACTGATTGGCTCGTTGGTTTCAGGGCTCAGTAGACTCCAAAATTAAGTGTTTAAGGCTTGGTGGGTTAGTCTGTGTTTAAATATTCATTGTTATTTATCATTATGTTTGAACTGCTCACACAAACAACTTCAAACTCCACAGTGGGCTTCACTCTGGTTCAGGAGAAAACACCAGAGGATAACTTTGACCTGAGCCTGAGCTCTACAACCCGATAAGATAACATCGTTTGAAGCTGACAGAAACCTTAACAGTGTCATGACACGTGATCTATTTTGAAGTCTACTGCTGGCCTCGTGGTCTGAGTCAGGTTTCTGGGACTTCTCCTATTCAGATTCTAGTAAACTGAACATTTTGCAATATTTCATGTTCTGCAAAGAGTTGAAAGAGTAGAAAGCTGAGATTCACTAAAGAGACGTAACTCTTCTTCTCTGACAGCGGATTCTAACTCAGCAGCATCTGATAGACCTTCTGCCCCATCAGATGGAGTGAATGACACTACTGCAGCTACTACTACAAGTGCTACTACAGCTACTACTACAAGTACTACTACCACTACTACTGACAGTATTATAACTCCTGACACTACTACGACTGACGCTACTGTACGTGATAGTACTACCCCTACTGAGAGTACTACTACTACAGCTACTATAACCAAATATACTACCCCTATTGATAGTACTACTACTACTACTATAACTGAATATACCACCCCTACTGACGGTACTGCTACTACTACTACTATAACTGAATATACTACCCCTACTGACAGTACTACTACTACAGCTACTATAACTGAATATACTACTCCTACTGACAGTACTACTACTACTATAACTGAAAATACTACCCCTACTGACAGTATTACTATGACTGCTACTATAACTGAATATACCCCCCCTATTGACAGTACTACTACTATAAGTGAATACACCACCCCTACTGACAGTACTAGTATAACTGAATATACCACACCTACTGACAGTATTACTACTACTTTAACTGACTATACCACCCCCATTGACAGTACTACTACTACTATAACTGAATATACCACCCCTATTGACAGTACTACTACTACTATGACTGAATATACGAGCCCTACTGACAGTACTACTACTACTTTAACTGAATATACCACCCCTATTGACAGTACTACTACTTCTAACACTATTGACACTACTACCTCTACTCCTGACCTCACAACAACAGACAGATCCACAACTATTTTTATATACATGTTGACTTTTGATGCAGAGTCTACAAGCACAGTGAGTCTTCCTACTGTCACAAATACAGCCAGTACTTCTACTACCACTGACAAATTAAGTATTACTACTGCAGAAACAAGTACTACTAGTGATGTATTTGACACTGACAATGATCTCACCATCAATAGCATCATGACTGATACGAGTTCTAAAACTTACTTCATTAGTACAAGTGATACTGGTGACTTTCTGAAAGCTAGTGTATATTCTACTACTACAACAGTTGACACTGGTACAACAGTTTTTACCACTGTCAGTAGTACTGTTAGTACTACAGATGCGTTTCCAGACTTTAGCAGTACAACAGCACCTACAGTGAACACATCTTCATCCAGCAGTCCAGCTCTGGAGACTGGAGACAAACCAGCTCCCACAGTACCAGACACCACCACTCCCAGTACCACTATTAGCATCTCCAGTTCCACCAGTACTAACAGCCCCACTATCCCAGGCCGCAGTACTGACTCTGAGGTGTCTATTTCTGACCCAGTGACTACGCCCTCTGACTCCACCTCCTCACCAGACAAGAAAGACTCCACCCTCTCTGGGATTGGTACTACGAACTTGATCACCAGTACTACCTTACCTGCTGATGGGTCTACAACATCAACTGGAACACCAACAACAACCATCTCAGAAATAACCCCAGCCGGTGACAGGGCTTCATCTGGAGATACTGCATCCATTGGGTCAGACCCAACCAAACGGGCTGGAGATGCTCCACCCGCAACAGGAGCTAACACAACTTTTCCTGATGTTCCTGTAGACCCTCTGATCAATATACCTCCTCCTGATGTACCACCTGTTGATTTACCTCCTATTGATGTACCAACGGAAGTACCACCTCCCAATGTCCCTCCACCTGAGGAATCACCATCTAATGTATCTCCTCCAGATGTACCTCTTCCCAATGTACCCTCTCCAGATCTGCCTCCTGCAGATGTACCTTGTCCTAATGTACCTCCTTCAGATGTTCGTCTGGATGCTCCCTCCTCTAGGACTCCAGATATCCGGATAGATATATCTTCTCCAGATTTACCTCCCCCTGATGTACCTTCCCCTGATGTAACTCCTCCAGCTGTATCTTCTCCAGATTTACCTTCCCCTGATGTACCTCCCCCTGATGTACCTTCCCCTGATGTACCTCCTCCAGCTGTATCTCCCCTTGGTGTACCTCCCCCTGATGAACGTCCTCCAGATGTACCTCTTCCAGATGTGCCTTCCCCTGATGTACCTCCCCCAGATGTACCTCTCCCTGATGAAAGTCCTCCAGATGTACCTCCACCAGATGTACCTTCCCCTGATGTACCTCCCCCAGATGTACCTCCCCCTGATGAACGTCCTGCAGAGGTACCTCCTCCAGATGTACCTTCCCCTGATGTACCTTCCCCTGATGTACCTCCCCCAGATGTATCTCCCCCTGATGAACGTCCTCCAGATGTACCTCCCCCTGATGAACGTCCTCAAGATGTACCTCCTCCTGATGTACCTCCCCCTGATGAACGTCCTCCGGATGTACTTCCTCCTGATGTACCTTCCCCTGATGAACTTCTTCCGGATGTACCTCCTCCTGATGTACCTCCCCCTGATGAACATTCTCCAGATGTACCTCCTCCAGATGTAACTCCTCCTGATGTACCTCCCGCTGATGCTCCTGAAGAATTATTGTTGCCTCCTTCTGAAGGAGGAGGTGATGCTGTACTAGACATAAGCACCACCAACTTAGATCCATCTGACCCTGCTGGTGATTTGGCCCCTGTTGACTTCAGCTTCCCTTTTCCGGATGATCCAAATTCAGCTGACCCTGAACCAGATTCTGGACCAGTGCCTGTTGGTGATCCTGGGAATGTTCCAGATGATTCCCATCAATCTGTTGTTGTTGCTGAAACAAATTCAGTCGATTCTGGACTGGATTCTGTCTCAGCAGGGCTAGATACACAGGAAGCAGGAAATGGTGGAATGGAATCAACTAGACGAGATTCCCCTGAACCAGATACTACAAGTGCTGGTCTAGATTCTATACCGGATTTTCCTCCAGCAGTAGATGATCAAGGACTAGATTCGTCTGCAGCTCAGATGAAAGGAAAGTCTTCCGGAGAGGATTCAGCTGCCGGTGGACCAGCAGAAGGTTCAGAGTTGGATGAAAAGAAAGACTCTGAACAAGAGGAGATGGGCAAACCAAAAGAGGAGAAAGGTACGGAGAATAAAGTGTACAATATATCTCAGAACACTGGCTGCAAATTCAGACATTCTTTCTTATTTACTTTGAGCTTCATTCTTGAACTTAGAAAAAGAAGCTTAACAAAAAAAATAACAAAAAGTGCAGAAGGTGACATGTCGTTGTTTGACGTCACATATTGTGGCGTTCTTCAGTGAATGGATTTACGCCATTGTCTTGGAGATGAGTTAGTAGTTGTCATGTGACCTCATTATATTTGGCTGAGAGCTTCAGAAAGTTGGACCCTGTCCTGGGTCCAAATATATGTGGATGCTGCACAAATACGAAACAATTTCTACATCAGTAAATGATGTTCACTGTGATAGATTACCGACATCAAGCAGGTCTCAAGTAAGTGCTCATTTATTCTTGGAGGATGTTACACATGAAGTACTGGCAACAATGAATTGATGAGCTAGAGTCTCAATAAAGAGACACAATGCTGAAGAAGATGTATTTTTCTACATGCAACTGAAAACCTGCAGATAGACTCTGTAAACTTGAGTTTCTATCAGAGCAGCTGCAGCAGAAGCAGCTTCACGTGTTGATAAATCAAACAGTACTCAAATAAACTTCTTTCCTACACATTTTCAAATCTTTCCTTCTCTGTTGAACCAAACAGTCACTCAGGCCAAAGAGGAAACAAAAGAAAAAAACAAGGAGAAAGATGACAAAGGCTACGAGAAAAAAGGTAAACATGAAGAAACAGTCGTAGAAGAGCCCCCTACTGGCTAGTAGAGGCTGACCTTATGTGGGAGTATTAGTAGTACAAGTAGCAGTAGTAGTAACAGTACTTAAAATACAAAGACCTGCTGCTCCTCGCTTGTCATGAGTAGCTCAGTAGCAGGTCTGACCCCCGCTGACCTCTACTGCTACATGCCCGTTACAATGGTTACACATATTGTTTTGTTTCCAAGCGACCCAGAAGATTCTGATTCCAGGAGGACCAAAGTTCAGTCAGCTGTCCAAAATTGCCTACGTCACCTTCCAGGGTAAGACCACCTCTGACAGCCTGACCCCCTTCACCTGGTCCCTTTCACCTGTCCTGACCCCCTTCACCTGTCTTGACCCCCTTAACCTGTCCCGGTCCTGGAACAGATTCCATTTCCCTCTTTAAATGGACACCACCACATAAACCAAGTTGTGTTCCTGTTTATTTTATCCACGAACAGCAGATGCGATCGTAAACGGGTTCCTCTCATAGACCTTATTTAAGAAGTGGACCTGGTCACCGTACCGCCACCCATCGGTTGGTGGACGGTTGTTGTGTGGACAGCATTGTGTGGGGGTCGCCACCTTGTTTTTTTTGCACACGTGACACGAGAGGGCGGAGCCAAATACTAACGAACGCTGTTACAAATGTTACAATTCACTGTGATGAAGTGAATTGTAAGTCACAAGAGGTTCAAGTTGAAAGAATACTCACTACAGATGAAATACAAGACACAAACAAACACACACCTGTCTCCTCAGCCTTCATGTTGCTCTCACCTGTCTGTCTGTCACCCGTATGTGGGTGACAGACAGACAGGTGACAAATTGATAATAACACGTTATTATCGATTTAACACATTCATTAATTAATGCTGACAATTATTTTATCGTGCGTTAATGCAGTTTTTTATTGATTATTAAGTGGACATTTTTAACACAAGAACCGGGCAGCGAGCGGTGAACAGCTGTGTTTGTGTGGCGTCACTTCCTGCTGCTGCTGCAACTCTTTATTAGCATAACTTCCTCATGCAGGTTACTGCCATGGTATAGACTACAGGTTCCATGCTTCACCTACATTCCCCTGGGTCCTAAGTCCCTCCATGTACAGCTTCTTATCACCCTCTATGTACCAACGTACATTTATAACAAATACCACACATATTACGGTAATCAGCGTTGCATATGTGTCTGACCAAAATACCAAAAAAAGAAAAAAAGAAATGATGAGTTTTTAAAGTGTTTTTGTTTGTAATATGTATAATAAGCATCATTTAGTTATCACTACTGAGAATTTAACAAACATAAAAACATGACGTAGATAGGTTTGCAGTTTTCAAGGTGTATATTTAAATTGCATCTCTTACACACATGAAGATAAAGTTGTGAACACCGGCTGAATATTTTTAATCAGAATCATTATAACTGTGTTATAACTGCTGCTGTGTAAAGGGAATACTGCTGCTAACAAGAACCTGATGTGTTTAAAGTGTTTACACCAAATGTTATTGACCTTTAGTTCATATAGCAGCACTTTCAAAATAAAAGTGAGCAATACACTACTTTTGAATTCATTATTGAACTTTGCGCATAACAATGAGATTAATCGCGATTAATTGCAAAAAAATCATGCAATTAATCGCGATTAAAAATTGTAGTCGTTGCCCAGCACTAATAAATACACTATGTTGCACACGTAGAAGATAAAACTAAAAACAAAACAGAAAATCATGTTTTATCCCAAATTTAGTTCCAGGAACTCGTCTCCTAGGTAAGTGGAAAACAGAGGAAGCAGGTAAAAGAAAAAGAGCAAACACGATATGATGCAACACTTCACTTCAGTTATGATGTCATATATTACTTGTGAGGTCACGATGCGTGAAGCTGTGTCCAGGTGTTCTGACAGGTGTATCTGTGTCTCTGTCAGACTGCGAGTGTAACGGCCACTCGAACCGCTGCAGCTACATCGACTTCATCAACGTGGTCACATGTGTGAGCTGTAAACACAACACACGAGGTCAGAACTGTCAGTACTGTCGCCTCGGATACTATAGAAACACCTCACTGCCACTGGAGGACGAGGACGTCTGTGTTGGTCAGTAATACACTCACACACGCACATACACACATATACGCACACACAGACACACCCACACATATACACATATACACACAGTGGTGATGATGGTGATAATAATAATGATGATAGTGATGATGATGATGATGATCATCATGGTGATGATGATGATGGTGATGATGATGATGGTGAAGACGTCTCTGTCTGTCCTCAGACTGTGAGTGTGTTGGGAGGGGCAGTGCGTCTCCTCACTGCTCTGACTCTGGTCTCTGTCAGTGTAAAGACGGAGCAACAGGGAGGCGCTGTGACACCTGTCTGCCTGGATACACCTGGAGAGAAGGCGGGGCCAGCTGCACAGGTACATGGGGCTTAAGGTTGAGGTCAGAACCAATCTTGATGTTATCAATAATATTAATAATCAATCCTTGTTGTCCCTCAGTGAACGTGTGTGATGAGGAGCGTTTGATTTGTCAGAACGGTGGAACCTGCGTCGACCTCCAGCGCTGCGTCTGTCCGGACAGCTTCACAGGTAAACACACATCTGTACGATGTCACAGCTCCGGTAATGTGGGCGGGGACTGATGATGTCACAGCTCAGGTGTCATGATGATGTTGTGTGTGCAGGTGCATTCTGTGAGAAGAAGGTCTGTCTTAAAAAGAGCGGTTGCCTCAACAACGCTGGGAGCTCCTCCTCTCCGACCTCACACCTTTACTTGCTGACTCTCAGTCTAATCTCCTACAACCTCCGTTAACCATGCCCACATACCCCGGGCCACGCCCACTGATGACATGTCAGAGCAATGAATATTGAAGAGGATGTAAATGTTTGTTTGAACAGGAAGGGAAATGACACATTGGTCCACCTGGATTCACTTGTGAGGAAGTTTCTTCATCTCCTGTAACGTGTTGAGTCATCACATTTAAAGACTAAATAAATGTGTCTTCACTTTGTGAACCGAGATGAGAAAATAAGAAAAAACTGTGAAGAACGTTTCACATTCAAAGCCTTTTATGTGGATGAATCAGTGCTGATGGTAAATGTAGTCCATTTAAGCCTCAGTATAGTCTCAGCTCACTTCAGTACAGATGTGCCTACATGTACCAGGATGCATTGCGTGTGGATGCAGGAAGAACAACAGGAGAACTCAGCTGTCTGGGTCAATATACTGATAAAATACACTGAGGAACTACATTTCCCATCAACACTGAAAACAGAAGGTGTGTAAACCAACATGAATACTACTAATTATACTATGGACACAAATGTTTCTGTTGTGTTTGGCTGGATTATGTGGATTAATAAATGGCAATGTAATAAAGACAATACTAATATGTATCTATATATATATATCATTATATATAAAGTGTGTGTGTGTATGTTATTGTTTTTCTTCTGTTTTTCTTTTGCTGTAATTTGTTCTTTTTATAAGAAAAAAATAAACTTTTTTTTATTTACGGTCAGTATTGTTTTTACTGGAGACTAAGTATTGTTTTAACTACAGACTAAGTATTGTTTTTACTGCA